TTCAATAACTAGTACAAATAACAGCGGTGAAATAGGGTCTCCTTGCTTTGTCCCTCTATTTAATGTGAAAAAATCAGTGACATTCCCATTATTTTGAATGCAGCTCCTTATGTCAGTCAACATTATTTTGATCCATCTTATAAAGGCTTCTCCGAAACCGAAATGTTTTAGAGTAGCAAATATGAAATTATGTTCCACTGAATCAAACGCCTTCTGGAAATCTGCAGCAAAAAGTATATACGATTTATTGTGTTCAGCTGAATAATCAAACAAGTCCGATATATATCTTAAAGGCTCTTGGATGTTTCTTCCCTTTACGAAAGCTGCTTGATTTGGATCATTATATTCTGACGTTTCGATCTGAAGTTCAGGCTCGAACAGATAAGGTTGAATTTGCAATTCTTCACCGTCAAAACTTGTAAACATTTGCTGTGGAAAGTCCTCCTCAAACGAGCTTTCAGAACTCTCACAACTTGAACTTGAGTCGTCAGACATTAGATTAGTAATAAAAATACGTAAAATGGACAGGAAAAGCTGAAATGTTCTTCAAAAAGAGAATCAAAAACAGTGTTGTGACTATGCGACAGTAGCAACCAAAGCGTGGTTTGACTTTGCTACGTCATAGGCTTTTAAAAATTTCTGAGCCCGCGATACAATGGCAAAATGATTGGCGAGGGCGGGATGTTYAGAATTATTTTTTAGGTAAACAAAAGGCCGGCTGCTATTCAAAATATCATACATTTGTTTCTAGATAGGTATATTTGATTAAGAATTGACAAAATTTGGGTGTTGACTGTTCCTTTAGTGACAAAGAAATTGAACAACTCATTTCTATTATGGAACAATTAAGCTATACACAAACAGTTAGGCACTACATTAACATCAGGAAGTTTGTTAGAACATGTTTATATAAGAAATGAAATGTGGGACTTATATATTTCTACATCTGTAGTGCGACGCCATTTTTAAAAAAGAGCAAACAGAGAGACCCTGGGAACGAGGATCACTGAGATCGTGCTCATTTGCATGTTATTTCCACCAATCAACGATTACAAGAACTATACCCCATTTCCTCAGAAGTAAGTTTACACATTTTGCTTTGCTTTTTTAACTCGAAGATTGCGAAGCAATCGAAGAGTTATTGGAGGGGGACGAGTCTGTCACTCACTCGATCACTCACTCACTCACTCACTCACTCACTTTCCTGTAAACTTAAGCCTTTGTTACTTGTGTTCAGAATTATAATTTATTCTCTTTGTTCTCTATTAATTTACTCATTAAGCTACAGTTACTGRGTCCCCTGATCTAGTTTTGGTTGAATTTATTTATTTTTAGTTATTTTATTTTTTACAAAGAAAGAAATCTAATTAAAGAAATGTCAGTTCCTCTGAGTCTTGCCGACTTCAGACCTCTGAATTAAGTCCCATATACACGAACAATTTTTATGTGACAATTTTTAATTGCTCATTCTTCTGAGGATGGCATAATGTAATGCTGAAACAGTGTTAAGATTTAAAAATATATCGTATTTTTTAAAGTTTTATTATCTCTAGTACTCTTACGAAACTATAGTATTTAAATTTGTTTTGTTTATTGACATATCCGCTGTGCAAAATCACAGTTGGCGCGAGTCTTGAACAATTCAGTATTTGCTGCATGCCCACACGGAAAAAANTGTGGCTGCCATCGGGGCCCCAACCCCGATGGAGTTTCGAAAAAAGGCAGACTCTTGTCTTATGCTACATTTATTTCTCAAAAACTAGAAAAATTCATACAACGTAGTAGATAAAGTACAAAAGTAGATAACAAGACAGTGGGCCTTTTCCGGACTGAGTGGCCGCCCACCCCACACAGGAATCCCACACTCGCACACAGGGAACCCGTAGCGACATGGCTCCCCTAACTGTTCTACAGTTACAACTACAGTATAACAAATTACAATATGCAAATTTCAATGTCAACAAATAAAGAGTTCAAAGTTCAACGTAATAACAAAGTTCAATGGCTCCTCGGGGGGGAATCCCCGGTATTTGTCCTTCTTTAATCTTCTACAGGGAGTAGAACTACCAACTTTTGTACAGGTCTGTTTAGGTACGTTGACGGTCGAGTGCRCTTGCCTTCATGGTTGAGAGCTCCATCAGCARCAAGAACCTTTACTTTCCTCACAAGACCATCCTCTGAAGGCCATGTTTCCACTACTTTGGCAAGAGGCCACTTGTTGCGTGCCAAATCTCCGTCCTTAATGATTACTACATCTCCAACACTGATCTCTCTTCTTGGCTTGTTCCACTTTGGTCGTATCTGAAGAATCTGGATGAATTCCTTTCGCCATCTCRTCCAAAACAGRTTAATGAGATACTGGRCGCGTCTCCATCGGTGTCTGCTATACACGTCAGCATGCTGGAAATCTCCTGGGGGAGGCATCAGCAGTTTAGGTTTCATCGTCAGCAGATGACTTGGTGTTAAGGGTTCGGGTGCATCAGAGTCACATAGGTTATCACTGGTCAGTGGTCTTGAATTCACGATGTTCTCCACTTCTGTCATCAAGGTTCGAAGCGACTCGTCGTCCAACTGTTTTCCATGGTTTCTCAGCATGGGCTCAAGGGCTCTTCGCACTGTGCCAATTAAACGCTCCCAAGAGCCACCCATGTGACTGGAGTGGGGGGTGTTGAACTTGAATGGAATCCATTCACAATYATGGTCGGACAGAAGATACTCACTCACTCGAGCTTCGTCCATTTCATCTATTGCTGCTTTCAACTCGTTACGAGCGCCAATGAAGTTGGTGCCCTGATCACACCTGATCTGCCTCACAGGACCGCGACGGGCTAGAAATCTTCTAAGAGCTTGGATAAACGACGAGGTGTCTAAACTGTTGGCTGTTTCCAGGTGCACTCCTCTCGAAGCTAAGCAAGTGAACAACACTCCGTAGCGCTTCACCTCACTTCTTCTCTSTWTAATGATATATGGTCCAAAATAGTCAACTGCACAATAACTGAATGGTGGGACTTGTTCCATTCTGTCCTTGGGAAGACTTGACATTTTCTGCTCCTCAACAGCTCTTCGTTGTCGGCGGCATGTTACACACTCTGAGATGACATTTGATACTGCAGAAGATCCACTTACTATCCAGAAGCCTCTTTGGCGTAATTCGTTGTGGGTAGTAGTGCGGCCCATGTGGTTCACTTTAGCATGGTAGTGTCGAATCAGTAACGTAGTCACATGACATTTCCTTGGAAGTAGGACAGGATGGCGTACTTCACTTGGCAAGTGTGCATTTTCAAGACGACCTCCAACTCGGATAAGACCATCTTGGTCAAGATAGGGATCTAGTTTGTATATGCTGCTTGTCGTCTTTAACTCTGATTTTCTCTTTTTTTCTGCCATTCTTCCCTTTCCATCGCTATCATCAATTCGGCGTAGAGCTTGGATCTCTTCCATGAAGTATTGAGCCTGAACACAGCGGATGATTGTCTYCTCAGCTCTATGAATAAGTGCAGGTGTCATCTGGTAGGTTGATACTTGGCTGGATGACGGTTTCTTTGCGCCATTCTTACTTTGCTGTCTYCGCAGTTTATCCATCCATTGGAGGCAACGTGCAATGGCTTTCTTCAACTTGAACCAAGATGAAAGATGACTCAGTCTGCTTACATTTAAACAGTCTTGGACCTTGTGTGCCTTGGATGACAAAACAACTCCTTTCTTTACTTCTGGATCTGCTTCGTCTAATCGATGCGCTACTCGTGATTCAGCGTTGAACGGGCCGTCCTTCCACAGAAACTCTGGTCCAGTCAGCCAGCGCGAGCCATCAAGCAGCTGTCGAGCAGTAAGGCCACGAGATGCATCATCAGCAGGATTTTGATGTGTATCGACATAAATCCAAGCATTGGGGTCNTTGGACCATATATATTTGTGCAGTTTTTATTGTACTTTTCATGTCATAATTAGTCTAAGTCATAATTAGTCTAAACTTTTGTAAGCTCAATTAGTCCAGTCTAATAATTTCTTCTTTCGATATCATTTTCCATTCATGCAAAATCAAATATAATAAAAGTATGCTTGCATTACATGGCCATTGCAGCCCACTTATTCAATTCCGTTCTTTTTTCAACTCAATTTTCAACTAGTTTCAACTTAACTTTGTGAGTACTCTTCTTTYTACTCTCTCCTCCTCATGACTACTGTACTATTTAGATTGTCAAGAGGCTTCTACATACTTAAGCACTCGAACAATAAATGTAGGCTCAGTCCTACACCAGGAATCCAGACTATGGCTAAAGGGGATYTACCGAAGAATTKGGGGCAAAGTGGGTATGAGAAGACCATACTATGGTGAGATCTCCAGGAATGTGCCATTTGACATCTTTTTAGCCATACKTCAGTTCCTWAAGGACATTAAAGCTATAGAGCCAGAATGCTACATGGCAGGTAATAAGAAGGGAGATGTGATCTCTATAACTTCTCATGCACTGCTCGAATGTGTTTTTGCTGGTCTATCTGGACAAACAGTCAAGCAAGTGAGGCCTTTCTTGAAGAGGCGTCTTACGGCTGGGTGTAGGTTCAACCACCAGGTGAAAGTAATCGTATCGGCAGAGAAAGACTTTGGTTTGGTATATAAGAAGAACACTGGACAGCTGTTGGTCCAATTTCATTATGGGGAATGGAATTACCATGGCAACCCACAACACTTTGGCTGAAAACATAATAAAAGGGAATTCACTTTAAAAAGAGTGCTGTAGTTGTCATGGTAATAAAGACAACAACTCCCTTTATGGTGAATAATTATTTTTTTATTGTTACTATGTAGTCAAGAACACACTGGSTAATTAAATTTTATGAAGTGGCCTGGCCTAGCTGATCAAACAGGTTTCTTTTGTTTTGTGTCACCAAGGAAAAAAAGAGACAAAAGAAAACAGCCCAGTYAACTAGGCAAGCCCATCTCATCTGCATGTAATCAGACCCTAAATYTATCAGACAAAAGCAATGTAGAGCTAAGTACTACTTTGTTCATATAGCATGAAATGCAAATTACTTAATTATGCAAAACAGTGATAGTTTAACAAAAGAAATAGAGTCATTTTCATTTCACCATGCATGATTAGTAGGGGTTTATGACGGTAGTGTCGCCCCAACGTCTTTCGGCAAACTCGCCCCACATCCTTCGGTAATGTCGCCCCACCATAAATACCAAATAAAAAGTATTCATTTGAATAAAGCTCATTGGAATTAACTTGCTAAGATTTTTCTTTTATTCTGTATTATTTTTTTGCTTTTTTCAACTGGGGCGACATTACTGAAGGATGTGGGGCGAGGTTACCAAAAGTATATGGGGCGAGATTACTCTGGGGCGAGGTTACCGGTTACCTTAGTTAATAGTTAGCATCACACTCTAAATCTGTTGTAATTTTATTTTGTTCTTTACCAACAAGTGCTAACTAAATAGTCATTTTCATTACATGGTCAAATGAGAACAGCTCTACTGGGTGCCATCTCAGATCAGATAATTATTAACTAATTATTATTATACTCACCATTTCTCGAAAGGCCATGAATGATCATTTTGTGTCATTTCTAACCGTGCCACATAGATGCCCTACTTTCAATCCCCCAGAGCCGCCACGCAGGCTACTACTTTTACAAATCACAAAGCAAAGTGAAACAAAAGCAAAAAAAAAAAAAAACAGAAAAAGAAAGAGTGATAGAAGAAAAAAAAACAATGAATGAACAGAGGTGATTTCAAATCCAATATGTCATTTATAATATTTTATATTTTCAACAATGTGCTGCAGTAACACTTGTGATAGATTACAGGTTATCTTTTCAACAATGTGCTGTTAAAGCACTTACATTACTATGTTATATTTTCAACATTGTGCAGTAGCACATAATACAGATTACAGGT